AAGCAGAATAGAACAAGGTGATTGGCCAAGTACAATCTGAACAACCATGGATAATGGTTGGAGCAATTAAAACAACATGGATAACAAAAGCAAAGATGAAATAGAAACGATGATAACGCAAACAACTGGATAAAAGGAGCAAAGATGAAATAAAGAGACTATGCTGAAGTGACAATGGATAACAGTGCAATTAAAACATTTTTGAATAATTATGGATCAGCCATGGACAGTGATGTATAACAACTTGCAATCGAAGCAAGAGAACAATCTTGTAAGATGTTTATGAGACATCATGGTGACAACGCATTTGAAACATGATGGCCATGGACAACACAGAATTCATATGTAACAGAACATCAGATGAGCCAGGCTATTTTCGATCATAAAAATGATAACTTTCAATATGTTATCTATTGGTTACAGACTTCCAGACTATTATTCATGGAGAAAATCTATTAATGATGGTAATATGATAGTGTTTAATGATTTAGGTGGTGTCTAATGTTTAAAGGTACACATTGTCTCCAATAATCTCATTTTTGGACATTACATGTATGGATCCGATGAAGATTTTATTTATTTTCAACTTGATGTACATATTGCATATATAGTATTTTTATTTACCTCTTACTTGATGAGTTACGTTATATATACAGTATGTTTCACATCCTTGTAAGTGTTCATTTCAAATGTTCCAAAACAAGTACATGCATTATAATTGTATTATTACTTGCACATGTTGCAGTTTTTATTATGAAAAGGGTCATTAGACCTTATCCCATGGTTGATCTCAAATTGGTAGCTTATGATCCTAAAAATGTATCAATCACTGCTATTTCCGACTGCTTAAAGGGATTATGGATATACAATGTAGTTCTTATCAATCATTTAATGACAGTTAGAAAAATGTTATTGTTAACTACATAATAATTTGTAATAACAAAAACTTCTTGCAATATATATTTTAATGATCTTATTCTATTTAGGTTAATCTGTATATTTCATAACTAAATGAATAATTTTATTTCATTAAAGATTACATCCTTGAAAGAGTAGTTTATCTCTATAATCTATATAATTTACTAAAATAATACATATTGTTGACTGTAATTATACTCATACCATGATGATTATTCTTCATTATAATATATACTTACTTGTCCCATGATCTTTCTGGTGTCCTATATCTTTGGTCTTCCAATATTTAGTGTATTCATAAACTCCACTATGTGTGTCTTTTGAGCTCTTATTAGTGTAGGGAAGTCATAAAGTGTCCAAAGATGATCACAATATGTGAGGTATTTATACTCTACCAGTTGCCTTTTGTATTTGTTCCTCAGTCATTAGGCTTGACTAATACCGTGACCATGTATATTGTATGTGGGTGTATGTGTCCACAATGTTTGACTTTAGTTATGACCTTAACTGGCCCTAACTGTCCAAATATATCCTGTCTTCATTGAAATGTTTTCCATGTGTGTTCAATGTTCATATTTGTTACTCATAACTAACTGTTTTCATGAAGTTACATGCATAAATCACAAAGGGCAAACTAAAGAAATAAATTAATTTTTCACAATTATGACTCATATCTTGAGTTCATGAATGTATTTTATTATTAGATTTTAATTTAATCACTTGTAACTTCCTCTTGACATTGAGTAAAAAATTTCCCTGTTTTCCAAGTGAGTCATGATTTTAACATGTCTCTTCATATTATACACAGGTCATCAACTGAACATTAAAACATCCTAACCTACATATCCCAGGTTGATTTATATGTATATGTCACATGTTATTCTATTTTAACATTATTGTGAAGTGTATTTATACAATAAAGAGTAAAATACATAAATAAATCGCTTGGATGAACAAGTTAACTGTTAACAATTTGTTTACTAGTTGTCAAATATATTTTGTTGAACAGCATAAGAAAACTTATACTGCTTGAAGAATTGAAGTTACCTACATGTAGAAATGAACCCTTTAGCTTGACTCATGTATTTTATCCTGTTTTCATTAATAAATTGAGAGGATGCAGCCGACAATCAAATATTTAAAGTAAAATGGTGTCATGTTCCAATGAACATGTACTGAAATCAGTAATCATGTTTACACTGCCATCTTTTATTGGGAGCTAAATATGGTTTATTTTAAGCAGACACATATAAAATGTCTTAGCCCATACCCATCCTTCTTAAAATCTTCAAATAACTTCATTTATGCTTAAATTCAGAAAGAAGTGAAATATCCTTGGACCAAGGCAGCCCAGACCATCCACTTGAAGGAATGGGCGATGTCTGGTGCCCTGCATTTGATGAATACAACAATTCTCCAACAGTTTGGAGAATAGAGTGTAAAAACTGAAAGCAGTCTTCTAAATATATATTAACAAAGTCAATGTTTCTACCACAATCCTTTGGTATTTGAAATAGAATTGTGATATCTGATCAAATATGGAATGGTTGAAGATACAAGATGCAGAATTGTCAAACTTTATTAGAATGTTTGTATTAGTCTGAGCAATAAATAGATAGAGTATTTGATTCTCCATCACCACTTCCAAATCAAGGTGGCTTGAAAGCCCATCGTTTCCAATATTGTCTAGATATACATATCACCCCAAAATATATTTTACATTTTGTATACTCTCATCCACAGATGCATGGTCTCTTGAAAGTTCTCTAAAGGATTGGTATCGATATGGTGAACTTTTTGAACATACGTTTAGTCATCAAAAAAATATGAAAATTTTACACATTGTCAATCTAATGGTCATCTTTTGAATGGTAACAATATAATTTGAAAAAAAAATGTAAACACACTTTTCTCTATATTGTTTTAGAAAACACATCAGACACTACTTTTGTTCTTGGTATCATATGTTCGGAATGAAGTGAAACATCTATCCGAACCTCATTGGAACAAAATGACAAACTCAACGTCTTTAGGTCTCTCAATATTATGATTATACAAAGGAAAGTTTGGATTTTAAAAAAGTATCTTGTCAATGAAACAAGTATTTAGTATTATGATTATACAAAGGAAAGTTTGGATTTTAAAAAAGTATCTTGTCAATGAAATAAAAGGTTTATCTTAATTTTTATCTAATTTTGGGGTTTTTGTTTTAACTTTTTGAAAACTTTCTGTTAAATCAACCAAAAACTTTGTATAACTATAATATTGAGAGGTCTAAGAAAATGCTGTATCTGCTATTTTGTTCCAACAAGGTTCGGAGATATTTTGTTTCATTCTCAAGAATTGGTAGAAAGGAATAAAAAACAATTGCACTAAAAAACAAAAAATGTTAACAAAAAAGTCATGTAAAATATATATAAATAATGTTCGCATTAAATTGTTGTCAATCAGTCAACATTACATAGAGGATCGTGCTAAATTCAGTTCACCATATCGATACCTGTCCTTTAACATGGGAATCCTCACTTTAGCAAATACACAACTCATTTCTTTATTGCTCAGACTGTACATGTATGTATGTGTAGGGAGCGTCCAGTATCTCAAATGAAATTGATCAATAACATTGAAAATCGAAGCATTATCAATGGAGGCAGAAGTATTGTATAGAAAATGAGCATGGCATGGGATGTCGTGATCGTGAGCAAAAACTATTCAACCAGTTCATTTCTCTAGTTCTGTCAATGCTAGCATGTACTATTTCATTGAAATAATGAGGAATTATATTATTAAACACGACGTTATAGTTCGATTTAAGGCTTAAAAGGATTAATTTTATTTCGGCCATTGAATCACAAGAATGGGATGTTTTTATAACATCTAGTTACTGCAAACAGTTGCCATTGGATTATTTATTCAAATGTATGATAATAGAAAGTGTTATGCCAAATATTTAGGACTCAAGTTAGATTATATTGAATTCCTATTTAAATCACCTTAAAGAGTACTTCCTAAAGTGAAAGTAATTCCCGGGAAGTAATTGGGTCATCCATTTGAGACTCTCGATGTAGCTAGGTTAATTATTGTATTTCGTCATAAGTCAGATTGCTTTAGGTGGATCAGGGGTTACTCAGATCATCTACAGATCAACTTATCACATACAGCATTCGTAAAATGTCCGGTTCGGTATTTGCACCTTGTAATACTCTCGGCTTGCTCTTCGTCTTTTTCACCATTAGGAGCGAAACTTTGCATAACAATTTTAGTAGGAGCTGGGAATGTTAAAATGGAACACATATTGACACGATGTAGATGGTGTCATTGAATACAATAATAAGTAATCAATTTTTTATCAAGTAAAATAGAATAATAATAGTCATTCTGTTATCTGGAAACAGTTTTCAATTATTCTGAAATAAACCGGAAAATATGTTGTACTTTTAGAAGACACTTGTAGCCATGACATGGAATGATGCGCAAAACATATCGAAACGTCATTTCAACTAGTTCCTTCTTCTCCATTCAACTTGACCAATACTCAAGTACAGTTAAGGAGATGTTAAACCTTAAAATAACAATGTAGAATATTATCTTCTCAATAACTTATACCTCTCAAACTAATACTGCTATATCGTGACAGCGATAACTTGTATCAAATCTTTGACTTGGATGAACATAAATTGTTTGCGCACATTATGAAGTCTTGAGATAAACGGATAATTTCAAACAAATAAACAAGCATACACTCAGTATGATAACGGTCAATATAAAAGCTGGACATAATAGCAATTCTGATTCATGATGGACATACAGTGGTAAGTAAAAATGTATTGCCAAACTGTGATTTGGGATGGCCACACTACGATGGCACCTGAATAATCTATTGACTCTGTCGATTAATGACAAGCATATTGGTTGAAATAAGTGACTAAATGGAAGTGGTTATATTAGCCCTTGAGGTGACATAGTCATTGTAACGCTCGGAAGGTTCGGAAACGATGTATATAAGCTATTAAGTAAATTACTTTGATCGATGGTAGACTGTATCGATTGATCAAATGCAAACAGATTTAGTCAAAGGAACAATTATATTCCATTAAACTGGAAGTATCAATTCTGTATTGTAAATATATGATTTGGATTCATTGTAAGTGGTCGGCGATTGTTACAGTAACCTACACTCAGTAACCAGCTGCTTTTTTGAATCAACGGGCAATTATTATTTTGGATAAAATGATCTATTTTAAATTTATTTCAGTTTCAGACTGAGAACTATGAGAAAAACGTGAGCAAAACACTGTGATGTCGAAAATTAATACCAATAGTAATACCAAACGTTTGACAAAGTCTGCATATGGGGAATCAGAACGGAGGACACAACCTAGAGAAGGTGCCTACCATGTCAACATGTCTACCCGGAAGTTCCCACCTCCTATTGTTTGTTACAGTGAGCGAGAACGTGATGCGCAGACATTGAACAAATTCGAACATTCGCGACTTATTCGTCAACTGGAGCATATCGATAATGAAAAGGCAATGGCGCATAGAAATATTAAGAGAGAGGCTTCAAAAATGAGAGAACGTTGCTCAAAATTTGTGGACCTACAAAGCATAATTGCTGATAAAACTCAAGTTGTTAGAGGTGATGAGCGTCCGAAATCCGTTCTGGGACCCAGCGGCAGTGGGTGCCGACCAGGGACAGCTCCTCGGGTAACCAGTCCTAGGGTGGTGGATCTGGTTTTCTGGGGTGAGAAAGAAATCAAAAATAAAGTTATCAGAGTGAACTCTCAGATCCTAGAGACGGGGTCCATACGGAGGTCAGACCTTGCAGAGATCCGAAGAAATCTTTCAAATAGAGCAACCGTCTCCATGCCAACCATAAAATCCGCACCCGCCAACAGAACTAAGGGAAGAACAATGAAACAGTGCCATTGTAAAGGAATTTGTACTTGTCTTCCAAACGGATCGAATCATAGTAACGCAGATTCCTACCGACCTGCAACAGCTTTGCCTCATACGGTTGCCGGTAACTATAGAAGCATATACCATAGCAACAGCACACGATCGTCCGTGAGCAACGACCAACACCATGGCGATCACAATATAACAAGGGATATTACAGTTGATACAGGAACATTAACAATGAAGGGCATATCATGTAAACGTAATACTGTCGAAACAAGTTTAGAGGGTACTCCCCACACACCTTGTGATTCTCCAAAAAGTATAACTGATCAACTCTCTGGCAAAAGCCTTGAATTGAATTGCTTTATTAAAACTCCAAATAACATGCTGAACGACCGACAAGAAACAGATGTAAGTATGGAAACGCCTGTAATACTAATTAACGGGGAGTCTGACGATAAGCACGAACATAGCACAGTTCCAACCGATAACATGAATGATGACGACAAAAGTGGAAATGAAAACGTATCACATGCCAATAACATAAAAAGTAATACTAAGATAGCTGAATCAAAAACTATTTGCAATCAATATACAAGTGAAATGGAGCCTAGGTCTTGGATAGGACGAGGCTTTGGGGTTCCTCATAGACCACGCTCACACAAAACAAAATCACGGTTCTTTGTGCGAGATAAGGCAGAATACGAATTAAAACAAGAACTGAAAAAGCAAAAATCAAAAAGAGATACAGATACACAAGTAACTTTTTATTTGGAGGACGCATTGAGTTTAGAAAAACTTAGATCGAATCTCTTTGGTAGGAAGGTTCAAAAATATGTGCTTGATACAGCTCAGTATATCAAGAATATTTCCGTCAATAAGTGGAATATTAAAGACATTGAAACTAAATTAAAGCTGAATACTTAATGTCTAATGAGTGTCAGAGCTTTTCAATATTTTGGTTTTATTTCTTTAAAAAGAGCTTCATCTAGCAATGTTTGGATAGGCACTCGGGATAGATGCCCAACTATCCTATGATGCAAATCTTATATTGCTATGACGAGTTTGTTGCTAATGCTGACGAAGAAGCTAAGAAAATGTATCAGCAATAAATTATTTTGTATACAATATACTAAAGTATTTATTGTTAGGCCTATAAAAATAGTTACAAAATTAAATGCATGCTATTGATCTATCTTGCAAATATTACAAAGTGCTCCATCCCGAATCCATGATAAAAATATAAGCTTATCGGGTGACCCAAAAAATGCAACCCTCCATTTCTTGAATATTTTTCTTAAATGGAGGTTAATTGCTCTGAGATTTGGCACACAAGGACTTCATTCAATATGGGATCCTCTGGCATAGTTTTAATAATCATAGTCTTATATTGGTAGAGTTATGGTTGTTTCAAAATATGCTCCAGATATCGTCAATTTCGCTGAAAACAAACTTACAATGTTCAAGGAAAACTGTTCATAACACGGATGCATTTTCCCCATGGTTATGGCTCAAATCTTTGCAGCAATTGCTTGTTGGAGTTCTGCAATTGCGGTAGGGTTATTTTCATACACATTATCCTTTAAATAACCCCATATATAGAAGTCAGGGGCATTGAGATCAAGACGTTGGGATGACCATGGGTTCTCCATCCTAGGAGAGATAATCTTCTCATAGAAATGACTAGTGAGCAAGGCTATGCTATCATAAGACGTGTGAGGAGTAGCTCCATCCTTCTAGAACCACTGTTCTTGTCTATTGAAGCCTGTATGTCATTCTAGAACTGCCTAGAACTTCCTGGGAACGTCAATATTGCGCTGTGTGTTAACAGTAACAGTGTTGCCATTATCAACCTCAAACCAAAAGGGGCTGATGAGTTCATGTTTGGAAATTGGCAGCCCAAGCTGTGCATTTAACAGAATGAAGGGGCCTTTGAAGCACTTTATCTGGAATTTGTGATCCCAGAACACAATATTTCTTGAGTTAACATGTTCAGAGAGAAGGGAATGTGATTCATCCGAAAACCTAACATTGGAAATGGACAACATTTGGAGCATATTTTGGAACGACCATAACTCTATCAATACAAGACTATGATTATTGACATTTGCCAGAGGATCCCACATTGAATGAAGTCCTTGTGTGCCAAATTTCAGAACAATTAACCTCCTTTCAAGAAAAATATTGAAGAAATGGAGGTGTACAATATAGAGGATATCCCATGACTTTTGGGGATACCATTTTTATCAATGAGTGGATATCGCCCATCTCCACGAGGGAACGCAGCGAATGAGTGCATATCACCCATCTCCACGAGTGAGCGCAGCGAATGAGTGCATATCGCCCATCTCCACGAGTGAGCGAAGCGAATGAGTGTAGATCGGCGATATCCAAGAGTGGATGAAAATGATAGTCCGAGAAAATCATTGAATGTCATGTTTGTCCTATGGTGCGTATTTTTATAGACTTAAAAAATAATTTAATCTTAAAGTTGCTGTTTTCTAATTCTTTTCTGATTTTTTCATTTTATTTTTCTCTGTGAACTTATTTTTACAAAATGATTGCATGAAAAAATTTAACTCATTTTTACGGATTACATAATCTTGGAACTGTAAATTGTTGCAAATCAAACAGACAAGTGGTTATTTTGCGCCAAATTCAAAACTAATGGAAAAATCGTATCCAACTAAGACTTTTTTAAGACGTCATATGGGTCGGATATAATTTTTAGGGCGTCATATGAGTAGGATACGATTTTAGTGGCGCATACCAAAATTATCTTGTGTCGTTTTCCCAATATATATTTAGTATTTATGGGATAAATAGAGGATATCTTATGATTTTTGAAGGATACCATTATTATCCATGAGTGAATATCGCCCATCCCCACGAGTGAGAGCAGCTAATTAGTGGAGATCGGCGATATCCAAGAGTAGATAAAAATGATAGCCCGAGAAAATCATAGGATATCATATTTATCCTATGATCGCTACTTTTGATTGGACTTAAAATAATTAGACCTAAAAGTTGTTGTTTTCCTATTCCTTTCTAATTTTTTCCTTTTTTTTATTTTCTGTGAACTTATTTTACAAAATGATTGCATGAAAAATTCAACTCGTTTTTAATGAACACATAATCTTGGAACTATATTGTTGCAGATCAAACAGACAAACGTGGTTATTTGGCGCCAAATTCAAAACTAATGAAAAAATCGTATCCGACGGATGCTATTTTCAAGACATCATATGAGTCGGATACGATTTTAGTGGCGCATACCAAAATTATTTCGTGTCGTTATCCCCATTATTTAGTAGGAAAAATATTTTTACAGTGTGTCTGTGTGATGAGGTGGAATGAAATTTCGATATCCGGATGGAAAAGAATAAGGGGCGCCGTGCAGTTCCCTTGTTCATTGTTAATCGAGTCTCAAGCAGTAAAATCATGTTACTGGGTATATGCTTTTGGTCACTGCCTTGATAAGGAAGAGGGATGTCATGGTTTCTCACACCAGTGTCTCTGTTGTCACTCATACCAAGCGTTTATTATGACAATATTTATTTATTTATTTATTTATTACAGTGTCACCCGTAATTATACGGCCAGCCTCCAAAGGCTTATGAGACACAATTACAATCATACTATAAGCAGATAAGTCAGAATTAACACTTACTTTAATCTATCTTTAGCCTCCAAAGACAAAAGCAAAAAATTTGAAACATATTTACAGAGTGATTTAGAATTCAATAAGTACATTGTTTTCTTTTCATTATCACAAGACTCAAATAGATCATATATACCTTTTACTTTACAAAACATTTCCTCTCAGACAATATTGTGATTGATATCATAAGTCTATGTTGGGATATGTCTATATTGTGATACTTAACACTCAATTGCGGAGGCTCATAGAATTCGAAAGCGAAGAAAAAGCTAGCCTCATCTGGCGACATCTCGACTGTAAACTGTTATAAGCTGGGGCAGCAGCCTACAAAATCAGACATCAACAGTTTAGAACATTTATCTCAAGGATACATCAAGAGATTTACATTAGGCATTCGTGGAGCCAATCCCCACTACTTGGTCCTTTGATCTTCCACATGTTAATTGTAAAATGGTAAAAAAATAATTTGAAAAAAAACAATATCGCCAAAAAATCAAATGGCGCCATTGAAATATGATCGTTTTTATCTTTTAATGGTCAGTACATTCAATTTGTGAAAAAGGAAACCATATACTCGGGGTGGAAAATTTTCTAAGGAAAAAATGACTTTATGAGCTGGATGGAATTTCTGTGTATTTTTTATTCTATTAGGGTGTCTTGCATAAAGTATTTCGCCTGCGAAGCATATAACTCTTGCGAACATATCTAAATACTGGTCCGAAGAAGACATACCTTGAATTTTTTAGAAAAAAATTGGCTAAAAATGGAAACTACAAGAAATCAAAATGTTCAACTCAAACAAAGTTGTAGCTATTCTATATCAATATTTTGTGTTATGTAAGGTTTCTCGGATGTTTCAAGACCTTCATTAGTATACTTGTGTCTAGAAATGTGACATTTATGGACAAAATTTGGCATTTTTAATCATTTTCGCTTTCAGCATTAACATATAGTTCCTTATATCTCGAGTTTAATGCTGACTGGTTGGTGCATTTCTGATTAAATCTGTGCTTGTACATGTGTTCTTCCATTTAAGGTATAGAAAATGTATAGTGGACAACCAATGTTCGTATGAGAGCTTTCAGATCTCCCCTACCCCATTTATTATGGAAAATTACCGAAAAATATGAAAAAATAAAATAACTTGAAATTATAAACTTTAACAAAGTTGTAGCTATTCTATGTCAATATTATGTGTTATTTAATGTTTTTAAGATTTTTCAGAACTTTTATTGGTATTCAAGTGGCTAGAAATGAGACATTCAAGGACAAAACTTGGCATTTTTTTTATCATTTTCGCTTTCAGCAGTAATATATAGTTCCTCATATCTTGACTTTTATGCTGTCTGATTGTTGCATTTTCAATCAAATCTGTTCTTGTGCATGTCTTCTTCCATTTAAGGTATAGAAAATGTATAGTAGACAAACAATGTTCATATTAGAGCTTTCAGATCTCCCCTACCCCATCAATTATGGAAAATAAACGAGAAATAGAAAAAATAAAATAACTTAAAATTATAGACTTTCATAAAGTTGTAGCTATTCTATATCAATATTATGTGTTATTTAATGTTTTTAAGATATTCAGAACTTTTATTGGTATTCAAGTGGCTAGAAATGAGACATTTAAGGACAAAACTTAGCATTTTTTAATCAATGCTGCTTTCAGCAGTAACATATAGATCCTCATATCTTGAGTTTTATGCTGACTGATTGATGCATTTTTGATTATATCTGTTCTTGAACATGTCTTATTCCATTTAAGCTACTGAAAATGTATAGTGGACAAACAATGTTCATATTAGAGCTTTCAAATCTCCCCTACCCCATTTATTAGGGAAGATGACTGGAAAATATAAAAAATAACTTCAACCTACCAGTATAAACTTTAACAAAGATGTAGCTATATATTCTTTGTGTGTTATTGATTGCTATAATTAATGTTTCAGGACCTTCATTAGTATACTAGTACTATTTGCATTCGTTTGACTTCACTTCTTAAAAGAGAGCTTCGTCTGCACTCTTTCAAACTAAAATAAACCTGTGAACTCACCGCGCCAATCAGTGTTCGTCGGCCAAATTTGACCGACGTTCTATATATGGTCATTCTTTCTGACCTCATCGTTGAGCCCGGAATTGACCAATGACATGCACATATTTAATTAGAACGCATTTGGCGTATGTTTCTTTAAGCTCGCTGATTGGTGGAAGAAAGGTCAGCGCGTAAGTCAAAAGTGATTTATTACCCAAACTGTCAACGGTACCCGTCGTGGGGGCGGGGCTACTAAACTGTAATATGGTATCTACTAGGCAGACTGTAGTTTAACTAGACTCTGCACGCAGGGTAGTATACTAGTGTCGAGAAATTACACATTTAAGAACAAAATTTGGCATTTTTCATCAATTTTTCATCATTTCCACTTTTAGCAATAATATATAGTTCCTTATATCTTGAGTTTTATGCTGATTGGTTGATGGAATCTTGATCAAATCTGTTCTTTTGCCTGCCTACTTTGATTTAAGGTATTTAAAAATGTATATTGGAAAGCCTGTCATTATATTAGAGCTTACATATCTCCCCTACCCCATTTATTTTGAAAAAATAACAAGAAATATAAAAACCAAACAATTTCAAAGTTGTCGATATTCTAGATCAATACTATGTATTATTTGATATTTTTCAGATGTGTCAGGCACTTCATGAGTATACAAGTCTAAAAATTAGACATTTAAAGTAGAGCTGTATCAATGGGGCGGGTATTCTCTATCTTTGTCCATTGGGCTTTCTGGTAATAATACGTTGCAAACTGCTCATGAATCTATGCAATGTATAGTACAATACTTGGAATATATTTAAAAGTAATGGGGTATAGTACTGTGATAATTATAACCAGTGATCAAGCCATATTGGTTGAATTCCCTCATTATCAATTGCAATGTTGTCAAAGGCTTGGTGATTTCCATATTACTCCTAAGGGTGGGAAGTTCATGATGGATATTGGGCTTGGGGATATTTTGGTAAATGCAAACATTGTGAAATGAAGAACAGCCAACACGATGATTTTGGAAAGAATTACAAAATGGTAAGCTGTCTTTGGTTTGTGAAGCAATGTTACTGTATCTCTAAAATGGGATGAATTTCACTTATGGCTGAGCTGCTATTGAACTTTGCAAAACTGGTAGTTGCAACTTATAGACGATCTATCAAATACTGATCATGAAGAAGTTGACACTCTCCTTATGGTCCATGTCTATTACAGTGCTGCAGACAAGACAAAGGAGTTCAATGTTGAGAGAATTTGTATTCAGTCTGATGATACAGAATGTTGCTTGCAAAGAAGGATGAGAGTTAAAAAGAGCTTTTAAAGTTTCTTATGTCCTTCAAGGTAGCATTCTAAATTACTATATGAATCTCAAAGTGCAATACCTATTTGAAGATATATCAAAAATGGGTGTCTTGTACCAGTACTCACAAACAAACCTTCGTAGCAACACAAGAAACATATGTCCTTGGCAATTCGCAAATGTAAAATGACAAAAGGCAGCGAATTGCAAATACAAAGTTTCTAGTCAAGGGTGTGTTGCTACTTGTCCATGTGGCAATAAACAACATAGTGCACATCGTTGGACAATATTTTAGGATGAGTTTCTCAGAACTATAAAAATTATTTAGAGATCTTACATATCTGAATATATAGCTTGTGGTGTCATGAGCATCTTAGACCTTGACTTAAAATGACTTAAATGCAGCTCTAACATAGAACCAGGGAGATTTGAAAAATCAGGCTGTTGGTGGATTAAGTTCGAGAGTTGTGAACAATCATGTTTATATATAGACGTATCCTTTGATTCATATGAGAGTAAACTGTGAAATTACAAAATTATTTCGCACTATTTATTTTTGAGTAATCTTTTAAAAATATGGTAGTGTAGTAATTTTATCTCTAATATGTATATTTGTGTTTAAAACACATTTTTCATGTTTTGAAGATAACAAGACACATAATTGAATATATATGATCTAAAATATGTCAACTAATCACAATTCAACTAAAAATATAAACAACTAGTGCTGAAAGTGAAAAAAATAGGTCATTTTGCCCATTTATGTGTCATTTTTTGATTTTAGTGTGCCAATAAATGTGCTAAACTTTTGAAAAGTTTAAGAATATTAACTAGCAATAACAACATTTATGTTGGTTCTCTTATTAAATGTTGGAGGGCAGATCTTAGACCTCTAATAAAAACATTCGCTGTCTTACATACATTTTCTTTAACTTAAATCAAAGAAGACAGATTCAATAAAAAACATATATGAATCTAATCATCAAAGAATTATAATTGTGGAAAATTATATGCTACTGCTAAATGCAGAATGCTAAAAATGCCAAATTTTAGACACATGTAATCAAATGAAGGTTACATTAAATAATACATAGTATTGATAGAGAATAGCTACAATTTTGTTAAAAGTTTATGATTTGAAATTACTTTTTCATTTACATTATAAATAGGGCAGGGGAGACATGAAAGCTCTAATATCAACATTGGTTGTCCAATATACATTTTTTATATACTAAATTGAAGAAGACATGTACAAGAACAGATCTGACCAAGAATGCACCAACCAGTCAGCATAAAACTCAAGATATAGGGACCTATACGTTGTTGCTGAAAGCGAAAATGAAAAGTTTTGTCCTTAAATATCTCATTTCTAGGCATTAGAATATTAATGAGGGTCCTGAAACATCAGAAAAAGATGAAATGATGCATAGTATTGACATAGAATAGGTACAACTTTGTAAAAGTTCATAATTTGAAGTTGTTTTACTTTTTATTAATATTTTCCGGTCATTTTTCCTAATAAATGGGGTACGGGAGATCTGAAAGCTCTAATATGAACATTGGTCATCCACTATACATTTTTTATATCTTAAATGAAAGAAGACATCTACAGGAACAAATTTGACTCAGAATGCACCAACCAGTCAGCATTAAACTCAAGATATAAGGACCTATATGTTATTGCTGAAAGCGAAAATGGTAAAAAAAGCCATGTTTTGTCCTTAATGTCTCATTTCTGGGCACTAGTTTACCAATAAAGGTTCTGAAATATCTTAAAAACATTAAATAATACATAATATTGATATAGAATAGCTACAACTTTATTAAAGTTTATAGTTTCAAGTCATTTTATATTTTCATATTTTTCTTATAATTTTTCATTATAAATGGGGTAGGGGAGATCTGAAAGCTCGAATATGACCATCGGTGGCCCACTATACATTTTCTATACCTTAAATGGAAGAAGACATGTACAAAAACAGATTTAATTAAAATTGCAACAACCAGTAAACATAAAACTCAATATATGAGGAACTATATATTACTGCTGAAAGCTAAAATGATTTTAAAAAATGCCAAGTTTTGTCCTTAAATGTCTCATTTCTAGGCACAAGTATACCAATAAAGGTTCTGAAATATCTGAAAAACATAAATTAATACATAATATTGATATAGAATAGCTACAACATTGTTAAAGTTTATAAATTCAAGTTATTTTACATTTTCATATGTTTCAGTAATTTTTCATAATAAATGGGGTAGGGGAGATCTGAAAGCTCTAATATGACCATTGGTGGTCCAATATACATTTTTTGTATCTTAAATGGAAGAAGACATGTACAAGAACAGATTTGATCAAAATTGCAACAACCAGTAAACATTAAACTCAAGATATAAGGAACTATATGTTACTGCTGAAAGCGAAAATGATCAAAAATGCCAAATTTTGTCCTTAATTATCTTATTTCTAGACACTAGTACACTAATGAAGGTCCTTAAACATCTGAAAAACATTAAATAATACATAGTGTTAATATTAAATAGCTAGAGTTTTGTTTGAGTTGAACATTTTGAATTTTTGTAGTTTCCATTTTTAGCCAATTTTTTTCTAAAAAATTCAAGGTATGTCTTCTTCAGACCAATATTTGGATATGTTCGCAAGAGTTATATGCTTCGCAGGCGAAATCCCTTATGCAAAAAACCCTAATAGAGTGAAAAATACAGAGAAACTCCATCCAGCTCACAAAGTCATTTTTGCACAATTCTCACACCTTCCACCCCGAGTAATATACACGCCATAGTTCTGTAGATAAATGCCATTCGGTCACATGAAGAATTCCAGCGACACCCAAATGAAACCTCAACTCCTTTATACTAAAGTAAAAGGGGGCAATTGGAGTCGCGCAAATATTAAATATGTACCTTATTTCGAACTCTGCATTGTCTAACAAGATGGGCTCTCCATCAAAGTTTAACATCCGTGCTAACTCATCTTCTGGATTCACAGCTTTGATTTTCACTTGTGCAAAACGTGCACTGTACATTCCTTCAGGGAGGGCCTGGAAATTAAGCACTCTCTGATAATTATAAGGCGAAGTGAGGTCACGTCTATAACCAATCAAATCAAACTAATTGCACCAACGAGAACATTGAAATGTACCCCGAGCGCAAAGATGTGAACGAAGCTGTCTTTTAAGAAGCTTAGGTAGCATTCGTGAATTCTACTGACGTCTGGCGGTTTAAACTAATATTTGAACCATTTGACTGTTGATTGGTGTTGATATTCCATTTAGAAATATTAGGTTGGGCATTGGGATCATCTCATCCCGCCTGCCCGTTCTCTGGTTCTAGCTATTAAAGTTGTTGAAAATAATAAATGTGCTGACAGAAACTTACCAAATCGTCGCCATTTATTAGATGTCTCCTCATGTTGTGAACGTATTTAATTAAATCCATTCTGCTTGCTCCATAAGGCATGAACTGGAGAGACCCTGTAGGGTACCTGAGGAATGATATCGTATTTCCATCGTCATCTACTTGTCGGACGGGCATGTTAGCCAATGACGTGAACGACCCATTAACAGTGGTCCAATCTGAAATCATCATTGTATTTTATAGTCTTGCTTCAAGACCCCGGAACCTCCTCCCTCTATCTACTTTACAACAGGTTGTCCTGTGAAGCCCCGGGTGTGAGGCAAGGCTATGTTTTTTACTCTTGTATTCTATATATTCCCCTGTGAAATATTTGCTTCATTGGAAGATCATTTTACAAACTTATAAGGTTAGGTTGCATATTAAAAGTCATATCATTCAGGGAAGTTATTTGACCACAAAGATTATCAGTTAAAAAGGTTCTAATAAGCTGAGATGCAAAGGTTGTGTCCACTTCGACCGTTACAATAACTTCATCCCATGGGCCACAAAACAAAAATAAAGAAACATGTAATGCCTGAGCAACCTGAATTACAAGCCTACCTGAAGGTTGAAGATCTTCACCATTTTTGTCAGTGTATGTGACGCCAACATCCACACGGCATGAGGAACTGTTCTTCAAGGTAGATAACGCTAAATAAATAAATTATTGCAACATATAACCTAGAAGAATTTCATCTTTGGATAGCAACATGGGATCCCCGAACTGGAAGCCGTGAGCCTGTGACCCTTATCTGGAACTCTTGGAGATCATCCAGTAACCTATAGTTAAACTCAGAGGTTGCAAAATGTAGCCCTTTCGCTGTCACCGTGGATTAGCATGCAATCCCATAAAATTGAAACTTGAACCCCAGAACATGAGTTCCTGAATCGAACAGTTCCCTCAAATGATCATAAAAAAGGCAATAAACAAGCGCGACAAGTTATATAAAAAATGTAAAACTTCAAATGATAAAAAACATATAGATGAACTTTTGGAGCAAAAAGGTGTAGTTCGAAATTTGATAGAAAATGCAAAAATGACATATGAAAATGATATATGCAATAGTCTCCAAGTACAGGAAAAAAATGATAGATTTTATTGGCTTACGATAAAACAACTTTTAGGCAAACGATTTGTATCTGAGATACCTGCCCTATTTTCTAACAACTTGATGAATGCTGCCAAGACAGATGAGCAAAAGGCAAATTGTCTTCAATCAATTTTTTTAGAAAAATTTCACCATGACTTTAATTTTAATCTCAATGACTTACCTGTATTTCCAGCTAGATCAAATATCCAAATAAATACATTATTCACTGACAGAGTGGAGGTTTGCAAATTTTTGAGACAACTTGATATCTCAAAAGCTGAGGGCCCAGATGGCATTACAAACAAAATGTTGAATCTTGTGGCTGACTCAGTTGATGCCCCAATGTCTAAATTATTTAACCGTATTTTTGACGAAAACAAATTTCCGAAACCCTGGAAAGATGGGATTATTATTCCAATATTCAAAAACAAAGGCGCTAAGACTGATTCATCAAACTATAGACCAATTACCCTGTTAAATACAATGGGTAAACTTTGTGAACGAATAATACATCAGAAAATGCTTAAACACTTAACAGAAAACCATTTGCTTTTCAAAAACCAATCTGGATTTCTGCCTGGACATAGTGTAGAATACCAACTTCTTAGCATTACTAATTATATAATGACATCTTTTGAAGATAATAAAGATGTAAGATCGCTTTTTTTGGATATCGAATCAGCGTTTGACAAAATTCCACATGAACTATTACTTCACAAAATAAAATCATATGGTTTTGGTGAAAATATTATAAGTCTTTTCTCTTCATACTTAAAGGATCGTAGAGTACGAACAAAAGTTAACTCAACTTTTTCTTGCTGGTCTGAAATGGGATATATAAACTCTGGAGTTCCTCAGGGATCCATTCTTGGACCAATCTTCTTCTTAATGTACATAAATGACCTTCCGGATATTCTTGACTCAACATGTTTCATTTATGCAGATGACACTTCAATTTATGCCCAAGTGTCCTACAATGAAAACACTGAACTCTCTCACAATAAGCTCCAATCAGATCTAAATAGAATACAATTATGGTCAGATAAATGGAAAATGAAATTTAAACCTAGCAAAACAAGGGAGGTAATCTTTAAAAAGCCAAGAGCAAAGTTACGAAACTATCAACCTCTTCTCCTAAATAATAACAAAATTCAGAGAGTCAATAGCCACAAACATTTGGGAGTCATACTCGATGAGCATCTTAACTTTGAGGAACATATAAATGGAATTGTTTTAAAAACTAGTAAAATGCTCAACCCTCTTATTTTCCTTAAGTCAAAAATTTCATCTAAACACTTGGAGACAATGTATACATCATTTATTCTTCCTCATCTTGAGCAAGGTTCACTCTTTATTGATTCCTCTTCAAGGGTTCATATTGAAAAGCTTAATAGAATCCATTATCGAGCTGCACTTTTAGTTTCGGGGGCTATTAGTGGATCTAATTTTGAGAAGGTCTTACAAACCTTAGGATGGAAATCGCTACTTGAACGTAGACAGGAAAAGAAAGCAATCTTAATGTTCAAAGTTCATAGAGAAATGGTCCCCACCTATGTACAGAATATCTACACACCTTTTTTGAACCCAGCTTATAGAACGGGTTTAAGAACTCAGCGTCAATACATTATTCCTGCCTCTTCATCAGTAAAATTCAAAAATTCACCTGCAATATCCCCTATTAAAACATGGATATCCATTCCAGAAAAAATCAAAAAGAAAGAAACTAAGTCGCAGTTCAAAAGATCATATAATCAATCCTTCGAAAATTCAAAATTAATCTCTGTTTTGACAACTCATCTGAATATTAAGAGATCTTTGGAAATAAAACTTAATCGAATGAGATGTGATCTTTCTTTGCGCTCCGATTTCTTTCGGCACAATTTTGAAAACTTTAGAGATCCAAGTTGCCCATGCGGATTTCGAAACCAAACAAAGGTACACTATTTACTTGATTGCCCTCAAACACATGATGCCCGACAAACTTTTTTCCAAAGTCTCTCTCAACATGCTGACCCTGATCTCAAACTTTTCTCCAGAAAATGTAAATATGACAAGGTAGATATGATTCTCTTTGGTGATAAAAATCTTTCTCCAAAGCTTAATTCCACACTCATAGAATTATCTTCTGAATTTATTAACAAAATCTTGTGACAACAGCTACCTTGCCAAATTTTCAAACTATCATCTGTCATCTCATTTCATCTTCATCATATCTAAACACTACATTATGTTATTGTAATTATTATTACTATTGTACATGCAAAATATTCCACTGTATAATTTGTATCTCCACGAGCCAATAATGTGTAAACTTAGGCTTGTTTTTCCATGTTACTTGTATGAAAGATTGTACATTACCTATACTTATGGAAATAAAATAACCTTAAAAAAAAAAAAAAAAAAAAAATGATCATCTCTTTCCTCTCGTCCCCTAGTCAACTCGTCCCCTAGTTTACTCGTCCCCAATTCAACTGGTCCCAAAGTATATTTTGGTATCATGCATGGCTGCATTTAAGAAAACAAATTGAGTCTGTACAACATTAAATTAATGTTATGCCCATTCCCAGACCAATACTTCTAAAGCAAAACATAAAAGTGGGGAATAGTTGACTTGGCGACCGGTTTTCTTGTGAACGAGTTGTCTAGGAGATCAGTTGATCAGATTTAAGATAATATACAAGGGTGAAATTAACACGAATTCATCAAGCATGAAACTATCTTTAACCTACTTGTTATTAGATATCGTAATTTCTTTAAATGTCTCCTCTTTTCAGCTAGGTGCATAACCTGACCAAAGTAACCCAATGCAAAGAACATAGTCCCATAGAAGATGGTGTTTCCACCACTTTTCAACTCTAATGCATTTATCTTGAATGTAGATCCTAAAATAAATGTGTATACAATCAAGGTCTCTTGAAAGTTTATGACATAGCATAATGTTTATAAGTCAGAATTTAAAACATTCGGCAACATAAAAAAAATAAAGATAAAAACATAAAGCATCACAATTCTGATGCATTTCTCTTGCACATAGATCTACATGTAAGGGTGAATGACCGTGTGTGTCTTAAATCATAATATGTCTTGGTACTTAAGGAAAAATAGGCATGACGACATTTACCTTGGGCAAAAACGATTATAAAATGTGACTTTTTATCAAAATAAGCACGTTCCCTTTTTGCATTTTTTATAAAAATGGCTGAACGCTAGGTTTACAAACCCCTTATTATTGTGAGCACAGCTCCAGTGATGTCATAACTTCCTGTAAAATCGAACGCCATCCCATTGCCTGATCCTGTAAAATAAGAGAGAATGTAGTTCACTGGAATTTTTCGCTAATAGGCTAATGGGCGTTCATGAGATAAGGGTTTCTTTCTTTTTAAAGGCCCATGGGCCGATGGGCGTCTTTTCAAAGTATAAGCAGTCTCATCAAATAATAATTTTTGCTCATTTAATTAGGCCAGATGCCCATTTTAGTGGTCAAAGAAATGACAATGTCATTTGAAAAAATAATTGGATTGCAAATATTGCATGCATATTCTAACCTGCTGGAACGACTCCCACCGGGGGAACTTCAGCGCCATCTATATGGCTTCTCTCTATAAGTCCATTGCAGACCTGTGTAAATGTCCCGTCGCCTCCAACTGTTATTATGCTACAATTTGCGTAGATCATTTGAACAAGAAGGATATTAAATAATATCTTGTCTATTTGACAATCACATATTGCTGAACTTTTGTTATGGGCTATTTTGTTGTTGTCTCTCATTGGATAAAATAAACATAAATCACCAGTGATCAGGGGCACAGAAATTAAAGGAACAAGTGTGAAATATATGTACTTTAGGATATGTTAATGGACAGTACTATTTCTATGATTCTTGATGATACTGACCCGTCAATACCTTTAAGATCTGTTTCCCTTGCAAGTTCTATCGCGTGTTTCGGCCTCTCGGACACTGGAACATAACATTTATAATTCACACTATCATGCATGTGTATTCACGAAAGGTACAAAATCATATCACAATGCAATATTACATGGACTAGTTGATAAAATGAACAGTTTTGCTTTCCACGGCGAAAACAGTAAGTTGTAAATGAGTTGGAACAGTCTCCCACATGATTTACAATGAGCTATCATTAAAAAGAGGTAATACAAACAGAAAATTGCTGCTTACATTTAATTTGCACCTCAATGCCTGCCAGGGCAAACAATGGCGCCGCTTTAGTTTTGTAGATCTTCTCTCCAGTCTGGCCTCCTGCTATCGGATTAATTATTGCCAACAATCTTCTTGGCCGGACACCCTCTAGGAGATAATAATGGAAACAGTAGATACAGTTTACCAAACGCTCTGTTAAGGTCAAGTGGGTTTTACTCATTCTGATTTATCAATCTCTCTCTCTCTCTTGTTCATCTAAAGCTAGTATTATCTATTCCAAGTTAGAGACTGTGGTGCCAAAAAAGAATTTACTTGAAATTCCCATATATTACCTACAGTATACAAAACTTATAACATCAAAAGTCATTTAAATGTGTAGATTGATGGGCCCAGAACGATGCCAAATTCAAAGTTCACTTTATAAAGAGATGAATACCTGTGATGGATACGATACCACCATTTATTTTCTTCTCCAGAATTTCCAACTGTGCATTATCGTTTAGGGACAGCTTCACTTTTTTCAGTGTGAGTTTCTTGTCTTTGCTTGTGCCTTGTATCACATGAAGTGTCACCTCAGATCGACCAGTTACTTTAGCACAAAGTACGTCACTCAGGATGATGCTGGAAATAGTATAAACATGTAAAGGACAATAACTGTTATGTATGATTCATTCAATGTGATTTGGACATCAAAGCTTGAGTTTTGAAAATATCCGTTACCCGGGGTCCATTAATTACCTATCAATGCTCAGTTATTTTCAGCCCCATTACACTTTTGGGGGAGGGGGCACTTTGAACATGGCTGAATTCAAACATCAGCCTACTTTCTAGATGTGCCATATATTACATCATGAGATATAAGGAGATATAAGGTTCATGTATTTTTGATCTCCCTCTGTCACGGTTAAACTTCACAATCACATTAATAGAGGACAGCACATGTTAATGTTTAGCATAGTTTCGTTGATAACATACGAAATAAAAAAACAGATACCAAATAAATAAAAGATGGCAGTTTGATAGCTTTGTGTACTGTACTCCTAACAAAATGCATAAATATTATAGCAAGGTCAATGGTTCATGGTGGCAATACTATAATGGAACAGGATAAAGTCTGACGATTGACAATACAACCCCAGACATTCAATTTTTAAGTGATATTGCAAGTGAAGATGCAAGATTTAATCCCCCTGAATATCCCTTTACCACAGTGCATTTGCAAGTGTCGTAGAAGCCGTGTATAAGATGAGATGGATCCACGATAATACAACAAGCAAGTCCAAGTAACCTTGTGGTTATATTACATCAGGTAGGCTATTATCGACGTAATATACTCACTGATCAGATTTTGCTACCTTTGTAGGCTTCTTAACATCAGCACACTCCACAATATCGATTTTCTCTCTTCCAACTGAAACTGTACTCTGTCTGCCTGCGAACTTGCAAGTAAATACTTGATCCTCTTTCTCTGGTGATATCTCTGAATCTTTGACCGGTTCTTCTGCTGAAGTAGCCATGGTTCAACGTCTCGCGCTCAGATTAGGAATGGGGGCCTCTTTTCTTCTCATTCACTATATTGTCTAAAATAGTATGTCTGTTTTGCTACATATGTATTTACTTCACGTCTTTCAAGCAAAATGTACCCGGAAATGTAAAAGAGGCACATATATCTGTGTTATTATGTGCTACTGCTAGTGACATCTATTGAGTGAAGCTAACTTAATCTGATCGAACTTCAAGAGGGGACATGTCCTTTCTCTAGGTTCATTGAGATAGATCCATCTGTAAATTCTGATGTATTTACTCATCAATCTCTAATCTGAATCTGTGATAAATCTGATTGTTGAAGTTTGTCAATTTCATCTGAGACATTGGATGATATGATGTACCTCTAATGACATACTTTTCTTTAAGAATATTTTAAGTGATAGTTTTCTCCAATAATAGCTTTGATATACAGTTATGTCATTTAAATCAATTTCCACCATGACATTTTTAAAAACTTGGGCCAAATCTCCATTTGTTGTGCAATGCTAAAACTCATACCTTGGCTTATTCCCGCTATGACAACCGACACTTTCATGTTTAATCACAATATGTACATTGACAGGGCCATCCAATAGTATGTCATTCGAGTTTCAGACAGATTCAACCAACACTTTTTGATAAATCATGAATCATGATAAATCATGAAAGGTGACTATTGCAATTTTCTAGCATTGAAGTGAACGGAGGTTTGGCCCAAGAAAATCAAAGGCAAACAAGGGTGACATCTATTATGTCAGCGTTATTCAGCTTTTTAGAAACTATATTTCAAAACCATGCAGTCTTTCACCACTGTGAGCACTTTTCTTATGATTGTGGGCCAAAATGATCAAACGTCGTGAATCCCTTGGAATCCGAAAGTGACTCCCTGACCTATAACCTGATAACTGGTTAATGAAAACACAAAATAAAATTCTCCGCTAAATATAGACATCGTGCATCCAAATATTTATTTGTACATCAAATATTGCTGTGAGTTCGAATGATTGAAGATGTATGGTTTTATCCAATGGCCTGTGGCCACACATAGAGTTTGTTTTCCTTTTCCCTTTCGCCCTTTCTTCATATTTGGTGGAAAGATGTATATTGGTGTGAATTTTACGCAAAAAATATTTTGATGGCCGCCGCCGCTTTAAAACTGGCGGGAATTTTTCTCAAAAATCTTATGTTTTTCAATTCAATTCAAGTAATAAATATTATTATTTTAAATTTTGGGAGAATATTCACAACATCTATCATTTCACATATATTCCGTGTTTTAACCCCCCTGACTCCCAGGGCCCGTGAATGAGGGAAAACAATGTTGGGAAAACAGAAATTTTGAGATGTTTTTGAAATGGAGCTTCATTCTCGGCAATTTAGAGTAGATTGCAAATATTGTATGGTTTTTCTGATTCGGGCCTCGTAAAATTCAAAATGGCCGCCTAATGTGGGATTTCGCTATAATTTTCTGCTCTCTTAGAAGTATGGCTATATTATACTCAAATTGAAGGACTTTTAGAGTAGATCACAATTATGGTATTGTTTTTATAATTTGTGTGTCTGAAAATTCAAAATGGCTGCCTTGAGCAGGAATTCTCCATTACTTGAGATATCTTTAAGAATGGTTCCATAATATTACAATGATTATTAATGGTTATCAATACCACATTCCAAATGTCTAATTCCAAATGGTATTAGATTAGATTGCACATGCAAATTATGTCACCATATTAAATATGTTGCGTTCGCCTTTAGAAGTGATATGCAATTCAAGATTTCATCCTTGGCCAAATGGTATCCAATTCTTGAGCTTAGAAAGGCCTGATCCCAGTCCGGTTACACCCGGGTGTTACAACTATGTACATAAACTAGGTGTTTCTTGACCAAGTAGGTGAGAATTGTGCTTCAAGTGCACTTCTCTGGTTATTTGAGTAAACTGCGACTGTAAATTGGTAATAGTTTGTGCAGCAGCCTATAAATGATAAAAAACTAGGGATGATCATATCAACAATTTTAAAAAATCACGGACACAATTTTTTTACTCATTTTGTAACCTAGAAAAGAGAATAGACCATATTTTAATTTCTTATCCAATATATTTTGATCACTATAATTTCATAAAATGAGACAGTTCTTTGATGTTTCTTTACCTTATTTCGAACTCTGGATTGTCTAACAAGATGGGCTCTCCATCAACATTTAACAACCGTGCTAACTCATTTTCTGGATCCACAGCTTTTATCTTTACTTGGCGAAAAGGTGCACTGTACATTGGTTCACGAAGGACCTAAATTGTAAGACTATCATTATTAACTTCACTTGGAATTTTTGAGCTGATGATGACAGTGAAATTTAGGTCAATTATGTTTGTGAAGCGAATATTTATGAGGTTTGTCAGTTTGTCATCCTATTAATTAAAGCCAATGTGTCGCTTTGGTGATTTTGGTTAAAAAACAGTGCACAGTTTCTACACTGTCTAATTCATCGAAACTGTATACATGTATATTCATGATTAAATTAATCCAGGAACAGTATTTCCGAATGTATTTTAAATGTTACATTTTTATTGTTTTTACCTCGGGAAACCAAGGGTGAATGGTTGGCATTATTGTTTTCTGACATCTCATTCAGAACCCAAAATTTGCAAAATTCAGAAAGGATTCTTTTTGAATAATCTCACAAAATGTCTCAAAACAAGATGGTTGTTGTCATAACAACATGCAAATTTGATGTATAATTGATGGAATAATCTGTTATATGAAGGAATCCAGTTTATGTCATGCTAATGTCTTACCCAATCTTCGCCAGACATAAGATGTTTCCTCATGTCATTAAAGTATCGAATCATATCCATTCTTGTCGCATCAGGCATGAATGTGAGATCCATCGAAGGATTTCTTACTGATGATGTCACATAGCCCTCATCATCTACATGTTGAGCAGGCAAGCAAGAGACAGATGTGAACGACCCACGAACATTGGTCCAATCTGAAATCATATAACTGTTATCAACACACAAGGGAGATCCAATGGCTCATGGAGAATACTTTCTCAAACTGGCGGATTCAAACATCTGAGACTTTTGAGCGAGTATTCATCTTAAAATACACAAAAGATTACACCCCAAACAGAATAGATATTTGAATGGATAAAATGATTAAAGTGTCTCACATATTCGATCAAAATTTGCCATGCAAACATGTTAGTCTACTTTACTGGCCCCCCTTGCTGTAACAAGGAACCCAAAACGCCTTAAAACGTAAAAATAACCAATTAGTCACTTCACTATGAAAGTTAGGGGTGTTAGCAAATGAAGCAGAATACGCTGTGTGCATCGACTAACACAATATCAGTGGTCATTTACTGTGTCAACTTAGTAAACCTTGCATATCTTGCTCACTCAAGTATTGACTAATTTTTTTATGATCTAAATGTTTGTGGTTTATAAAAAATGTGATATATTTTAGTTAGAAATACATTAATTAATATATTCATTCAAACAGCACTAGAATGCGGGAAGAAAGAGCAATGGTGACAAAATGCAGACAGAATTTTCTGTAAGGGTTTCAAACACTTCTGAACACAATCATACATGTACTTCATGTGTACTGTTATTTTTAGTGCTGTATTTATAGATATAATTTCACGTATCAAAATCATAATTTCCAGCAATGACTTCAAATTCGGAACCACACCCATATCACATTTTCTTCAATAACTCCAAACATGTGTAAACATTGACCATGTGTATACAAATTCAGATTTCACGAGCTCTTTCCCATTCGAGTACCTCATAACCCCTGCATGGATTTGAGTTGGATTCGCCTTTTATACGTGAGCCGGTACACATCGCAAACGCTGATTGGATAAAGATTGCGAGAATCTTTAAATACGTGCATTTAGCTAACATATATCCGAATGTCCAAAATAAGACGTATTGCGTCCGGACTGGGGAAAATCCAAAACCTATAATGAGGATCATATCATCAGGATGCTATAGGTCTTCCTTGTGAAATTATTAATAAAACTGAAACTGAAACATACCCGAAGGTTGCAAATCCTCCCCATCCTTGTTAGTGTATTTGACGTCAAGCTCTACACGGCATGACGGGAGGTTCTTTATGCCAGTTAACACTAAAATTATTACAAAACAAGTATCAAATATCTGAATTTGAAAATTTCATTCCGGAATAAGGATGAAACTCTATTTATTAAAGACACAAAATGTTTTAGATTTTATGACATATGCACCTCGTAAAACTCGATAATCTCGATAAACTCGATAATCAGAAGTGACTTAAACATACTTGTTACTGGATAACGTAACTTCTTTAAATGTCTCTTCTTTTCTGCTTTGTGAATAACCTGCCCAAAGAACCCCAGGCCAAACAACATGGTCCCATAGTAGATAACATCTCCAGCACTTTTTACCTCGAGTGCGTTTATTTTGTAGGTAGATCCTAAAGATATATGCAAATGTATACGAAAATCGACAAATTAACATCAAAACATTAACTGAAAGATACCTGTCTTTTAGGTAGATGGTGGCCTGGTACTATTGTTTTCCTACGTATCATTGAAACCGGTGTAAAATAAATTATGGTCCCCCAGGGATTATAGTTCCCTTTTTAAAGGCCCTTACTGAGATCTGATTATTAGTCCCGAGCCCGACAAATGTTTTTCACAGAGCGGGATATAATAAATCACAGTTACACTGTCACGTAATTTTATAGGGCTCGCGGGATAGTCACAATTGCAAACACCTTTATCCCGTATGAGAACTTTGTAGCACTGAGCCTCGGGACAGTCAGTTTCTCAAACTCACTGTCCCGTAATTTTTTTTTTGCAAACGACGGGATATAATTAATTGAGACCTGACATATCCCGGCGCTGGGTAAAAAAATTTGCTGCGGGATAAAGTGATTTCAGAACTTGACTAATGCTGATCAAAGTATATGCTATCAAGCCATCACACATCTCTATGTAATTACCATACTATATTACCCTTGCAAAAAATTCCATTTTTCATGACCTCTTTGTAGATCAAAGTATATGCTATGAAGCCATCACACATCTATGTAATTACAATACTACATGTATATTACCCTTGCAAAAATTTTCATGACCTTTTTGTACTGTATTATATCAACATCTGTCTTTTATTTTAAAAATGTTGCTAAAGTTTATTGGGAGGGGTGGCACCTACACACTTGATTCAAAGTGCTATCTGTTATGTGGGGGGGGGGGGGCATCTTCACACTTCACTCACACCATGGTCTAGAAGAATCACAACTGTCACAATTCCTCATTCCATCCATCTGGTATCATTAAAATAGCCTTGAATATAATATGCAGTATGTACATAAATCCTTGTGTGACATCCTGTATGATTTATTATGCCTATTGCTGCATATGTCTTTCTATTTTTTAATCAGCGAATATATATGTATATAAATCCTGGTGAAGTAATGTGGTCATTCCTTAAGCCGTCTCATATCATTTATCATCCTAATTGTTCATATTCAACAGCTCCTTGCAGTGAATTAAAGAAAAGTTGTTTTTCACGATAAATACTGGTGAAGTATTGTGGCAATTTCCTCTTGCTATCTGGTTTTCTTTGTCATCCTAATTGTTTGCTGTACATTTCTGAGGACCTGAATAAATCAATAATAAAAACATTTATTAGCAAGACACACAGTGATAAATATCGCACTTTGAAGAGCAAACTGGCCACCATGCAATTTATCCAGCATGGCCAAAACCTAATCAGACCTTGGCACTAGTCTGCTCTTGCATCTGTAAACATTTCAAGTTGACAAGGTTAGCGGTTTTCCTGCAATTTTGATGACAAGAATTTATTTGTAGTGTGGAACTTTGGGAAAATTTAGATAACATCGTTTGTGACCTAATTTGATGACCTTCGACCTTGAAAATTTAACTTTTTCAGACCTCAGTAGGTGTTTTGTAATTAAGCTGACCTAAATTTAAATCCAAAATATCAATTTAGAAAATCAACTTTTTTGACCTTTTCAAGGTCACTGAAGGTGAATGAAAGGTCAAATCTGAAATCTAAGGTCAGATTTGAACTTCTGAGAACTTGTAGATGTTTTAAAAAAAAAATTTGGTAAATTTGGAGCAAGTTGAAAAATTCAAAATGGCCGCCAAATTGAAAAATTCAAAATGGCCACCATGTAATTCAGCCAGCATACCCAAAACCTAATCAGATCTTGGCAATAGTCTGCTCTTGCATCTGTAAAAATTTCAAGTTGAACGGATAAGTGGTTTTCCTGGAAATTTGATGACAAGATTTGTTGAAAAATTCAAAATGGCCACCACGTAGTTTACCCAGCATGCCCTAAACCTAATCAGATCTTGGCACTAGTCTGCTATTGCATGTGTAAAAATTTCAAGTTGAACAGGTTAGCGGTTTTCTTGGAATTTTGATGACAAGAATTGATTTGTAGTCTCAAACTTTGAGAAACTTGGATAACATCATTTGTGACCTAGTTTAATGACCTTGACCTTCGACCTTGAAAATTTAACTTTTTCAGACCTCAGTAGGTGTTTTGTAATTAAGCTGACCTAAATTTAAATCCAAAATATCAATTTAGAAAATCAACTTTTTTGACCTTTTCAAGGTCACTGAAGGTGAATGAAAGGTCAAATCTGAAATCTAAGGTCAGATTTGAACTTCTGAGAACTTGTAGATGTTTTTAAAAAAAAAATTTGGTCAATTTGGAGCAAGTTGAAAAATTCAAAACGGCCGCCAAATTGAAAAATTCAAAATGGCCACCATGTAATTCAGCCAGCATACCCAAAACCTAATCAGATCTTGGCAATAGTCTGCTCTTGCATCTGTAAAAATTTCAAGTTGAACGGATAAGTGGTTTTCCTGCAATTTTGATGACAAGATTTGTTGAAAAATTCAAAATGGCCGCCACGTAGTTTACCCAGCATGCCCTTAACCTAATCAGATCTTGGTACTAGTCTGCTCTTGCATCTGTAAAAATTTCAAGTTGAACAGGTAAGCAGTTATCCTGGAAATTTGATGACAAGATTTGGTTTATGTCCCGCCCGCCCGCACGCCCGCACACCCGCCCGCCCAACAGCACAAGACGACGGCAATATAGCACTTTTTCAAAGTGCAATACAAATGCATTAATGTTAACACGGTATGTTACATGATACGACATTGAGTGACAGTGACAGAGTATGTTACAAGTTATGACAGTAGTAACAATATATGCTACAATGGATGACAGTGATTAACAGGGTATGTTACAAGATATGACAATGAGTGACATGGTATGTTACAAGATATAACAGTGAGTGACACGGTATGTTACAACATATAACAGTGTGTGACAGGATATGACAGTAAGTAACATGGTATGCTACCACGTATGACAGTGACTGACAGGGTATGTTACAACATATGACATTGAGTGACACGGTATGTTAGTAGATATAACAGTGAGTGACAGGGTATGTTACAAGCTATGACAGTAAGTGACATGGTATGCTACAACGTATGACAGTGACTGACAGGGTATGTTACAACATATGACAGTGACTGACAGGATATGTTACAACATATAACATTGAGTGACATGGTATGTTACAAGATATAACAGCGAGTGACAGGGTATTTTACAAGTTTTGACTAAGTGACATGGTATGCTACAACGTATGACAGTGACTGAGAGGGTATGTTACAACATATGACATTGAGTGACACGGTATGTTAGTAGACATAACAGTGAGTGACAGGGTATGTTACAAGCTATGACAGTAAGTGACATGGTATGCTACAACGTATGACAGTGACTGACAGGGTATATTACAACACATGACATTGAGTGACACGGTATGTTACAACATATAACATTGAGTGACAGGGTATGTTACAAGCTATGACAGTAAGTGACATGGTATGCTACAACGTATGACAGTGACTGACAGGGTATGTTATGACATATGACATTGAGTGACATGGTATGTTACCACATATAAGAGTGAGTGACAGGGTATGTTACAAGCTATGACAGTAAGTGTCATGGTATGCTACAACATATGACAGTGACTGACAGGATATGTTATAACATATGACATTGAGTGACACGGTATGTTACAACATATAACAGTGAGTTACAAGGTATGTTACAAGCTATGACAGTAAGTGACATGGTATGCTACAACGTATGACAGTGACTGACAGGGTATCATATGTTATGACTTAGACATTGAGCGACACGGTATGTTACAACATATAACAGTGAGTGACATGGTATGTTACAAGATATGAAAGTGAGTGATGCGGTGATGATACAAAATATGGCAATGAGTGACAAGGTGTTAAAAGATCTGACAGTTAGTGATATGGTATATTATGAGGTATGACAGTACAACATTGTATGTAACATATGAAAGTGAGTCACATGAAATGTTACAAGTTACAACATTGAGTAATATGGTATGATACCACATCTGACAGTGAGTGACATATGTTACGAGAGCAGACAGTAAGTGACATTATATGTAACTAGATCAGACAGTAAGTGACATTATATGTTACTAGATATGACAGTAAGTGACATTATATGTTACTAGATCAGACAGTAAGTGACATTATATGTAACTAGATCTGACAGTAAGTGACATTATATGTTACTAGATATGACAGTAAGTGACATGGTATGTTCCATGATATGACTTGTTAACTTAGGCATTTTTGAAGATTCTTGGCTCCAGAACTTAGAAGTAGTATTAGCTACTTAAATATGGTACCATACCATATCTATTTTTACTTGCTTTCATGTATGTATTTGAAGAAAATTCCTTTCATTGTAGCAGCACATCTATAAATGATGTTAATTTTAATTAATGGTTAAGAGATACAATATTTTGACTTGTTTTTGTTTTCAATTGAATATCAGCAAGATGGACATTTTTTCAACCATGATTACAATCTGGGTTTTCAAACCAAAGCAATGCATTATAATTCTTTGAAAAATTGGAAATAGAGAGTCTGACTTTAAGTGACATTTTTAAAAGTAAAAGATACACTAAGATGTTTGGTCAGTATTTAATTGACATAATGCAGATCAGGAAAGACTTTATTTTTAAACAATAACTAGTTATTTTAAAATGTTCAAATGTGTCTCATAAGCCCAGATAGGGCTGGTTGTATGATATGATACAAATGGTGTCCATTTTTCAAAATGGCCGCCTTCTACCAAAAGTGCCATTAGACAGTGTGCCATGCTTATAGTATCCACATACCAAATATGAACAAAATCGCTCCACTACTTTTCGAGTTATAGTAAAATATGTTAAAATGACGGCCATTTTTTAAAATGGCCGCCTTCTATCAAAAGAGTCATTAGACAGTGTGCCATGCCTATAGTATTCATATTCCAAATATGAACAAAATTGCTCCACTACTTTTCAAGTTATAGTA